TGGTACAAGATCCCAATGATGAATGTAACTGTATTTTATACCTAAAATGTACCAATAAAGTTAATGGGGGGGGAAAAAAAAGAAAATCGCCTGATCTGTACTCCATCCTGCCCAGTTTCCACCACCAGGTTAGCTGCAGTCTTGTTGGAGAGCTCATTCCACCAGTGGTTTGTAAATTCTTTGGCAGGATCGTGTGCCGCCCCATGAATGTCTTGCTTCAGTGTCACCTTGAGGGGCTGCGTGATGCCATTCTCCTTCCAGTCCAGGCCTTTGCCTTGAGTCCATCCATGCTTTAGCAGCTGCTCCTCAGCAAACTCCAGCCCTCGACTCTTGGCCTCTGGGGTAACACTCATGGTGGGTGCAGAGGCTGTTTCTCAGGATCTCACCAGGGAAGGAGAGAACTTCGTCTCCTCTTGGTTGGGCGCCACACATTTCTCCTGCGTTGCTGCTGTGTTTCACTCTTACTGGGGCCCCCTTCTGAAATTCCTGTAATCTCAGCACTCTGGAAGGCTAAGGCACAAAGATTTCAAGTTCAAACCAGCCCAGGCACTGGCTCGTTACTGTGGAGTCCTCTCCAAGGAAGCATGTCACCTCTGCGAATATTCTTATGTCAACCAAGTTCATAGTCTCTATCAATTTTTCTGTCACCTAATCACCAAGGTGAAATTTTATGTATTTGTCTGCTTGGGCTGACATATTAAGTACTACAGGCTGATTGGCTTGAATGACAGGATTTGATTTTCTCATAGGTCTGGGGATAGGAAGTCCAGGATCAGCATGTCAACATGGCTTCTGATGGGGGCTCTTCCAGGATTGCAGACACCCATCTTCTACTGTATCTTCATATGACAGAGAGAGAACTCTGTCTGCTCATCCTCTTATAGGACACCAACCCCATCATTTATGGCCCCACCCTCAGAACCTCACTTAACCTCTGTCCCCTCCTCCCAGGCACTGTCCCCAAATACAGTCACTTTGGGGATTCCTGTCCAATACAGGAATTTTGAAAGACTTCAATTCAGCCCATACCATTCTGCCCCTGGCCCCCCAAAATTTATGTCCCATACTCTCCAACTGGTTTCCAGCCTCCACCATTCCTGCACCAGCACCTAGCACCTAGCACCTCATTTAGTCTACATTCAAACAATGACCACAGGAACCTTTAAAACTGTAAATCAGGTCATGTCACATCTCTCCTTCCAACAGCCACCCCCTTTAACTTAGAGTAAAGCCAAAATCCTTACAGGGCCACCAAGACACATCACTTCCCTTTATGTTCTGATCTTATCTCTTACTTTCCACCTGTCCTCTATAGTCTACTCGCACTGATCTCTTTTCCATTGTTAAAAATGGTCCTGCCTTGAGGCCTTTGTGTTTGTTCTTCTTTCAGCCTGGAGCACTCTCCACCCAGATGGCCTTAGAGATCACTCCTTCTTTTGCCTCTTCCAGGACTTTGCCTGAGGTCACTTTCTCAGTCAGCCTCTCTAATTCTATTGGAATTTTTTATTACTTTCATTGCAATAATCTCCCTCCCTCTTTCTTTATTTTCCCTATATTGTTTATGACACATGTGTCAGATATGATATACTTACAGCAAACTTATTAGTTAGCATTCCTTATTTTTTTATTAAATAACTTTATTATCAAACACACACACATACAAAAAATTAAAACCACTCAGAGAAGAACAATGCAAGGGGAAAAAACTATAATAATATTCAAATACAGTGGAACTCAACCAAAACAGAACTGAAAAGCATTTAAACATTTTTCCATATAACTTAAAAAAGCATCTCAAACACCAACAAGACACCAGAGGATTTGATTTGTTTCAGAAAGGTCCCCAAAACCAACACTGAACAAATAATGATCTGCAAAAAATACCCTCCAGTTAGTTAGCAGACTCCACATAAGTGAAACTTCTCCCTAATTTAAATTTTGATACAGTCATATGACACACGATGGAAACACAATCCAAGAAATATATTATTAGGCAATTTCACCCATGTGTATCCTTGATTACACTTTCAATTTCTTACACTAGTGAAACTATCCAGTATTTACACACATGTGTCCTATTTATTTCACTTAAGAGGATGGCCTCAATATGTATCCATTTAGGTATAAATGTCTCTAGTTTCTCATTCTTTATGGCTGAGTAGTACTCCATTTTACAAAAAAAAAACCACATCATCTTTCTCCAGTCTCCAGTTGATGGGCACTTGGGCTGTTTCCAAGCTTTAGCTATTACAAACTGTGCCGCTATAAACATGCGTGCGCATATATCGATGTGGTAAGATACTTTTAATTCTTTTGTGAAGATACCCAGCAGGGGGATAGCTGGGTTGAATGGGACCTCTAGGCCTAATTCTTTGAGGTATCTCCATACTGATTTCCACAGTGGTTGCACCAGTCTGCACTCC